AGTCATGGGATGGTAGGATTCTGCACTCCGGCCTTTCCCCTGGCATCCTGCAGCCAAATCCTGCTTTGCTTTATTCCCTCGCACAGTTTCATTGCAGACAGCAGAACTGCTGCTGTCAGAAAGGCAAGCCGGGTTCAGCCCCTGCAATTTTCTCAGCCTAAGCAGCCAACTGGAATAAAGCTGTTCCCGTTTTTCACCTTAGCCAGCAGTTTGGTTTTCCATGGGCTGGATCTCACCCCTTCATTTATCAGAGCAGAGGAAATGCAAATCCCTGCAAGTCCCGAGTTCAAGGCAGAGGCAGGAGGAATCAGTTTCCCATCTGTCCATATCCATCTGTTATCTTACACTGATGCTCTTTGGGCCAGGACTGCCTTTTTTGTTCTAGGCCTGTACAGCGCCTGGCACAGCAGGGTCCTGGTTCCTGCCTGGGGCTCCTACATGCTGCAGTATTACGAACAACACAACATTTTCACCTCTTGTTTTTTCATGTGAAAGCAGAAGCATTAAAGTGGGCCCGTCTGGTAAAATGTTGAGGGGTCCTGCCTAGCTGAGTCCCTAGTTCTGTTAGTTTTCCCCTCAACTTTGGAGGATGAAGTTATTTTGAGAGTAGCAGAAGCATATGTGACACACACCAGGAGATGGGAGCCTTCTTCAATGCAGCACACAAAATGTAAGCTCTACTCCTGTAGACACAGCTACATCCCAGTTCTCACTGGGACCATGAAGACTCTTCATATCAAACCTTTCCAAGATGGTTCACCAGAGCAGGGACCCTAAGTCCTCCCCCTTTCCTCCATGAAAAGCTGTGGAGATGAAAGAATCCCATGCAATATATTTGACAAAGGCAAAGCAAAACCTTCAGCTCAGCAGCTGACAGCCAGGTCTTCTCAACATCCCCATAAGCCTTCCATTACTGCAGCTCTGATGCGATGCACAGGCCAGGCAATGCCAGGGCAGCCACAGAAGGGACACTGTCTCCTCCTCCGGGATACCAAAACTTGAAGGTCGAGGGTGGAGGGGAAGCGGAGATCAATAAAAAGGCCAACCACCACCTCTGCAGTCTGGAATGAAAGAACAGACCCAGCAGAAGAGCTCCTCCCACAGTGGGGACTCCTCTTTCTCAAGGGTTTCTAAGATATATAATACCTGGAGACCTGTGTGTAATTTTTCTATTATATTCTTCAGCCAATCACCAGGGGTCAACTGAGAATGACAGTTTGCTTCTTGGTGACAAAAACAGGACTGATAGGCTAAGCATAGACAGTCAAAAAGCTGAAGGCCAAATTGATTCAGACTTTGCAGGACAGTCTAAGCTGCAAGGTTGAGCCAATAAGCACATGAAGAGACATTCACTTTTGTTTCAGAAAATGTAGCCACATGCCTGCAGTGGCTCAAGCCAGAAGCTGGGGTGGTGCTGAAGCACAGCTCTCTGGCATGTAGCCAGCATGAGCTGTGTGTTCCCTTCCTCTTCCTGATGCCCCCAAGGTCTCTGGGATTTGCAGTCCAGACTAACAGCAGTAAGACTCTGCAGGGTTGCTTATCGCTTCCTCTTCCTGCTTCCAGGTGCCTCTGGGATTGGTAGTCCATGGTCACAGTCAGCACTAAGCAAGCAGGGCAGGACAGCTTTGTACTCAAGGGAAAGGAAGTTTAACCCTCCCCTTCCCTAGCCCCACACCCCAGCAGGGGTTGCTTGGAGGGGCCAGTGAGTCAGCCAGTGATGCCAATGAGCCAGCCCTCACTGCTCCAGCTAGGGAGCAGAGGGGTGAAGCCAGCTCTGCTCTCTGGAGCAGAAAGCACAGCCAAGCCCAGGGCTGCAAAGCATGCTGAGATGCTGGGGCATCTGATTTAACTTGAACCAAGAAGGGGTCTGGGACAGAAGTTTCTCAAACTGGTTTGACCTAAGTCAGTTAAGTCTGATGCTACATTCAACCAGATTTATCTTAAACCTGTTTCAGCCATTTTGAAACTGGTTTATGTGCACTAAACTTCTAGTTTCTGATCACTTAAACCAGTTTATATGCAACTTCTGTCCCTAGCCATAATGGCTATATACACCACCTCTTCTCTCTGGCCAGCAAACCCACTACAGTCACAGGACTTTGCCTCATGCAGCCTGACACCCAGTACCCAGGAGGTAATGTTGCAATGAGCATTGGCATCAGCCACCCCAACACAGGATGCAATGAGAAGCAGGTCCTCCAGAGGTGATAGCACACAGCTTGCACTGGCTCCAAGTTCAGAAGCTGAAACTAAATCCCTATGACCAGAGATTATTCATGTCCATCAGGGGGATTTGTAAAGGGAAGAATGGCCTAGGATAACATTAGCACAGAGCTGTATCTCAGCCAGCCGAATGCTACTGCTGAAACCCTGTTGCTAGTGACAGGGAAAGCCAATAGACTGGAATGGACATGTGCCAGCAGGCCTACAGAACTCAGGCTTTGAAACTATTAAATGGTCTGGAATCCTATACAGATTCTTTACTGCCATTTGTAGTTACCACTTGGTAAAAGGGGGAGTTCCCTCTGTTCTCAGCCCCTACCACTAAATTGTGCTGCAGAGGAAAACAGAAGGGTCCATTCTCTCCTGCCCTACTCAGACAAGCCCTTAAGTGTCTATCCATTGATACTGAGGTCATGGAGGAGCATGGATAGAGTATTACTATGACCAGAGTCTGAAACCAGCTCTGAGCATTTGCAAGAAGAATGACCCATCATATCTGGACTGTCTATTAATTCCTAGAGAGTGTCCAATCCAGAAGAGTGACCTGATCTGTTATATTACATGCACTTGCAGCATTATCGCAACCCTAGAATCAACATCCCCATGATGATGGTGCCCCAGTGCTCAGCACAAGCTCTTGCACGCATGACACTACCTACACCTGGCACTCAGCTCCTGCTCCATTGCTCATACCTTGGCCAACCTAGTGCTAATTCCACCCTAGTGCCCAAGAAGCAGTCACCTGTGACCCCTGGATAATTGGTACTACAACACTGAGGGTGGGCAAATGATCTTTTGAAACTGTTTTTGAGGGAAAACTGGGTTTTCAACTACACATTTTGCTGCACAATGCATCTGCTTTCTGCTGAATATTTTGGCTTTAATCATACAAACCAGAGACCTCAAGACCAAAACGTTTCAGCACTAACTCAAAAGCTTTTATTTAGCAGGTGATGCTGCACTGCCTCCGGGGAGGTTTAGTTCAGGTCTCTTTATGATCTGGGCTCCATTTTTACTGTGGCAGAAGATTAACAGCAAGAAGGATGCCAATCAACTGTGCAGCAGCTGGTGGTGAAGGCAGAGATTCTCAAAGGGGCCTGTTTTATCCAAGTCCCACTGCAAGGCAGTAAGACCTGGGTGACTAACTCCCTCCACTCTTTTGAAAGTCCCAGCCTAAAATACTCAGGGTCCAGAAAAGTGTGTGAGTGACAAGGTGACACCAGTTGCAGGGAACCCAAAAGACTGTAAGTTAGTCCTAACTGCAAAGAAGTGCAAGGGATATCCAAGACAATTGGTATACATTCTCAGAAGGGAGAAAAGGCTGTAGTATTCTTGCAATATTGAAACTGGCAGGCCTCTGTAGGGTTAAACTTTTCCAGGACTGTAGCAGGACTAATGCTTTCTACCTTCAACATGTTTAAAAGCTGAATGATAACTATAGCTCAGTGGTTGTTGAACAAATGATTCCCATCCATCAACTAAGGTGCTCCTGTCCTTCAGCAGAGCAAGATACGAACCTCTTCCCTTCCACTTGCTTTCACAGGCCTCGATCCTGAAAACACATGCTTAACATTAGGCACTGTGAATCAACTACCAAGGACTGCTGATAGTAACACAGCTCACATGCAAAGGCAAGTATGTGCCCAATTTTTTGCAGATGCAAGGCTATGCACAACCATATTTTCTCCTTGTCTGTTTGACTGGGGATAGTCAGGACCAGCACGTACTAAAAAAAAAGTCACAGCTGTAAGTGATCTTGAGATTTGCCATACTGCTAACTAGTCTGAGCCTCCTAGTCCCAGGACCATCCTTCTACCCTAATATTTAGAGTATTAATGCACTCAGACTGAACAAAGCGGCTTTACTGCTCTAAGATGCTATGCCTTCCACTTGACTAAATGTGTTGGCACCTATGGTCAGCAGACCCTCCAGGGCCATTTAATCTTTGCTTCTGTGAGATCACAGGGTACAGCAGAACCAGACACATCTAGAAGGGGACTAGTGTTACACTAGTTAGATCTACATCCTATGCATGTACTTCAAATGACAGGACCCCACACAGTCCAGTCACTGCAAGCCTGTGACAAGAGCAAGAGCAATCCAAGCCTGCCTCTTCCTCACACTTAAATTCCCAGCCAAACTGTGATAGTGCAGTACCTCCGTTTGAGGGTGATGCATGAAGCAGCATGAAATCAATCCAGGGTAGCTTCCAGTTTAGAGATACGTGGGGTTGACTTTGGTTTGCAAATAAAATCCAGGAAGGCAGGAAGACATGCTCACATCCTCCTAGGCAAAGGGCAGGGACAGGCCAAAAAAGACACACTTCCACTCTAAAAGGAGGAGCTAGTACAGTTCCACCCTAGCAAGTGCACAGATTCCTTAGGTGTGCGTGTCCGTGTGTCCCTGAACAATGAAGAGTCACACGGGGAATGCAGCCAGACTCAGATCAAGGTGAATTCCTGATAGACACAGTATTCTGTGGGCACTCCCCAACTCCACACAGCTCTCTGCTGGAACCATGCATATTTAAAAGTGATTTTAGAACCCGTGAAAGGAGAAACAGAGTCACGGCTTGGGTAGGGAAATCCTTTTTCCAATAGACAGGACAGGGCCTTACATTTCCCTTTTGGTTCCTGCTGACAGACTGACTCTGGACCTGGACCTGGACCTGGATGGGGACCCAAAGTCTGTCGTCACTGGCTGTCCAGTCCCACATGCTGCTGCTGAGGCTGCACGCCCTTCGGTGCCAGCAAAGCCATCTCACAGGAGGCACCAGGTTTTACTTCTGCAAGTATTTTTCTTTTATTGAATACAAACATTTGCAAATACAAAAAAAGTGAACCCAACATGTCCCTGCTGACTGGCCAGGCAGCGCATACGGTAGTAGGGAAAGGGCTTTAGTGCTTTATAAACTTCCTGAGCAAGTCAGCCTTGGCTGCCCTGGGCAAACTGATTTGGCCAGAGAACCCTGCTGCCACCTGGTGGAGAAGGATGGCACGACACCATCCTGCACCACCTGTTTGGAGCAGGTATCCAGCTGCAGCTTTTTTTCTATGATGTGAATAAGGCAGAGACCAACTGCCTATAGGAAACACTGTCGCATTAGAGAACAGCAGCCCGCAGGATCCTAAAGACAACCCCTGTGCTGGAGGCAGAATAAATGCAGGATGATTTCACATCTTGCAAAGGCCAGAAGGATGCAGATTTGCAACCGCTGTTCCTAGTCTTTACCTTCCTCCCCTTTAGGCACAGTATCGTGGGGGCAGGAGAGGCTGCAGGCTGATATGCATGGGCACAATCATTTTCAGACTGTGCAAAGGAGAGGACAAAAGAGAAGTTTATTCCCTGAGATCCCTCAGCCCAGGATATGACTTCCCCATCCCATCCCTGAACATACTGGACTCATTGACACAACGAGGCATTTGGCTGTTCATTAGGAGTATTTACCTCACCAAGGGAAACGGCTGGGGAGAGCAGTGAATCCCCATACTGCACGTGGGCTGACGGTTTTAGAAGGGTCTACTGACACCTTCAAAATGACGTACCAGAGGCAATGAAAGCGCTGCCTGATAACCCCAACAGAGAGAAAGCTGGTGTATCCCACTACAAAGAGGTGGGGGGAAAGGGTCTCCCATCATGGGGAGAGCTGGCTTAGAGACAAACCCAGCAGCAGCTTCTGAATGGAGGTTTGGAGACCATCCTGCAGCTAAATAATCAAAAGGAAAGCATCTCTCTCTCCAAATGCAGCTAAGTTCTTTCTATCCCTTACCCTCTCCTGATATAAGTGAGTCAGTGCCGTGGTCCTAGGTCTTCATTTGTCCTTTGTGCTAGGACCTGCAGCTCCTCTCGGCAACAGCGTTATAATGAGAAGTCCCCAGACCTGGAGCAATGAGGCAACTCATGGCTCTGAAGCCTCTCAAGCCCTTCCCAACCTTCCCAAAGCAAGGGGATGCTGGGAAGGAGGAAGGACATTTCCCAAGCACAGCTTTGTCTGGCTGGGGAGACAGGGGGAACTAGGGACAGTGCTATCCTGAGGGGTGGGGCTGTAGTCATACTGATGAACAAGAGAATAAAGCGCCAATCCTCAGGAGGATGCTGCAGCTCTCAGCTGGTGGGTAGCACCAGTATCTCATTAGTCCCCCTTATGAGAGGCAAGGGGGCCCCATTGGGCCTCATGCCCTTCATACACATCACAAGGCAAAGGAGCCTCTTTATATGGTTCTGTTCAACAGCAGGAAAAAGCAGGGAGGGAAGGACATCCTTCAGACGCCGCCGCCATCAGCACTGCTGCACAGGGGATTTCACTCCTTAGCCCTGTTCTTATTTTTCTGCTTCCAAATCTTGGACCATCGGAACCTGTTTTTCCTCTTGTCCATCTCCTGGCCATCACGAGGCCCATCTGTGGGTGAGAAGACAGTGCAGGACATGAGTTCCTTGTCTTCAATGGGACTCAGACCCATGGGGTTCCCAAAAACAAGAGCACTTACCCAGCTTCTGGATCATGTCTGCCAACACCTGATCCTCCTCTTGCTCTCTGTGAGGGAAGAGGCCTGTGTTAGTCAGCACCCAATGCTCCTTAGGGGAACTCAAGGGCAAGTCCAGAAGCCTGCCCCTCTGCTCTGTCCCCCTCGGGGTAGGGGTGACACCTGTGAGAAGAGCACTCCACCAAGGCACCTCCTCCTCCAATGCCCCTCTGCCATGCCCAAGCCCAACAGAGCCAGTGACCCTCACAGACTGTGCCGTGGAGACAGAAGTCACTTGGGCTTCCCTCCTACATTCAGCTTCAAAGGGGTCTACAAGCGAATGTTAAACCTGGAAGTAAAAGAGCAGCCAAAAGGAGCCTGTGAAAAGGACGGGGTCAGGGGTCTCCAGTTCTTGAAGTGGGGGAGCAGAGAGAGGTGCCAAGCATGCCACTACACTGCAGAAAAGACCCAAGAGCTTCCCATCCTAGCAGTAGTGCCCTCACAACCCCGAGAGGCTCCAGGTGGGCCTCCTCAGCTAGCAGCAGTGAAGCTGCCTCCATGAAGCACGTCAGGCAACCTAAGCAGCTCTGCTGAGGGACTGTGCCAACTGGCTGCTCCCCCCCAGTCAGAGCTACATGGCTTCTGGTATGAGGACATCACAGCTGGGGATGGGGATGGTAGGTTTACTGTGCAGAAAGCTCCTACAACTCGAATGCACCAGTGGAGAGAGTTTCCCTGCACCTTGCCCTCGTGCCATTGTCCTGACTGGGGGCAAAGGAAAACGTCAGTACATCAGCGACTGAGGGAGGAGAGGGGGCTTAACTGAGACCCGAGCCAGCCTTCCCATACCAGAACTGTTTGGCAGAGGGGAGGGCAGCAGCAGCCTGCAGGTCATCTCATCACTCCATCACCCGAGGTCCCGTACCTGATCCTGTCCTCATCCAGGCAATCCACGATATCGTTTCTGTCGTTGACAATCCTCACATATGACTCCAGCAGCTCCTCTTCTCGTGCCTTCTCCCAGGGCGTCTTCAGATCCTCTGCGCAACACAAGGGGACCTGTTCACACCAGCAAGCTCTACGCTTACTTGGCTCTGCCTCATGCCCGATACCTACCTCTGAGCTGCAGGCCATGCACACGCCTGCTTCCCATGAACAATACACTTCTCACAAACATTTCCCTTCCCTCACCCATCCCCATTTCCCCACCCCCCATCCCCCTGAGGCATGGGTCTCCTCCCCTATCAAACTGCAGACTGGACTGAATGCAGGTGAAAATCCACACCAAGCCCCAGAGGTCTCCAGTCCAGCAGAAAACAGGAGTCCACAATGGGCTAAAAGCCCCATAGAGAGAGCTGCACCAGACAGATCATGAATGCAGAGCCTGAAGTTTCTGCTTGCCCAGAGCCTGGACAAAGCCCCTCACCGCACAGACAGTGTACATGCTGGGCTGGCTACTAACCAGGTTTGCTCATCAGACACCGCAGCTCATTCTCCGTATTCCACTGCTTCTCTTCCAGCTTCTGCTGCTTCATTCTGCAAAAGCCCAGAGAGGCAACAAGGTCAAACCAGGGGATTCCTGCGTCACTTTGGAGCAGGCAAGGGATGCTCTGCAAATGGCACAGGGGGATTCTAGAGAGAGTCAGGGCAATGCAGGGGTTTTCTGGGCTGCCCGTATGCCACCTACACAAACAGGCTTCCCATCCTAGCAACAGGGACTGTTGTCCAAGACAACCACTAAGCAACCTCCTCCTCGCAGCACCCAAAATGGCATTGGACTGCCCTTCCCTTGTCTAGGCCATGGAGGTGAAGCCCCATTGGCTACCGCATTCCAAGGTGCTGATGATGCACAGGACTCCTTCAAGCCCGCCTTACCCCAGTGTTTCCCCCTCTATCCCCACCTGTAAGGGAAGCAATCAGGACTCAGCTTATTGCTCAGAGGTAGGAGAGGACGGATGGATGCATGGATAGATTTCTGGTTGTACTCACTTGTACATCAGCTCTGACTCCAGTCTCAGCAGCAGCTGCTTTTCATGGATCAGTTTGAACCAGTCCACCATGAGGGCATCCTCAGATTCATCTGCATACAAAATGAAACACCACTATGTCCCCTCACTGCTGCGTTTGCTACAGCAAGTCCAAACCCTCTGCAGTGATGGTGCATGAAGGGCAGCACAGATTCACCTACTCTAGGCACAAGAAGGTTTAGATATTTGGACATGGACTGGGCACCCAACATGCAGCTCTTGTTACTCAGAATACAGACAGTGTGCATCGCGGATGGCTGCAGGAAAGCTGGCTGAGTGTCTCCATCTTAGGCTGTCCAACTCGCCTTCAGTGCAATCTGCCCCTCTATGCCAGCCTGAGCTTTTCCACATCAAAGCCAGTCTTGAGCAAGGACCACAAGAGGGAATCTTGGAGTCCCAAAGACATCTTAGAAGCAGCCTTTGAGTCCTAAGCCTCAGCCAACTGGCAACTTAGCAATGATATGCTAGGACCATGTATACAGAGACAGACAGAATCAGTTGGAAGTCCATCTTCCCAGCATTTTACCTGGCTCCCACACTATACCTTGAGTCTCACATTCAGTGCACACTCCTAGGACAGAAGACAAATATGTATGCAGATGAGACAGACTGGGGGAATTAAGTCTTGCCTGTCCCGACTCCAGTCAAAGGCCTCCCTTACCTCCTTCACAGCCACGCAGCTGTTTCTCCAGATCGACTCCTTGTTGCTCCAGCTCATCCAGCTGCTTCTCAATATCTCGCACCTTCTCCTGGATTTCCTCTTCCGGGATGTAGTCTGGATGGAGCTGAGGGACAAAGTCACAGAGGCTAGAAAAAAATGCTAGGTGCTCCCATGGGCCACTCCCAGGGGACAGGGTCTATGTGGCACTGAGAAACTAGAGGGAGACAGGCTGGAATATGTCCTCTCTCACGGGGCCTCCGCGGTTAGAGAAGACGAGGCAATTCTCCACAGAATGGGCTGTACTGAACACTATGGCAGGGCCCTCGCTAGCCACCTACCCTTTTGATGCAGTCCCCTCCTGTAGCCTTTAGAAGACACAGTGTGTGGTAGAAGACCTTGGCCATAGCAAAGGGGTAACACAGGCTAGGGCAGCTCCCGTGATATGTTCCTTAGGGAAGGTCTGAAGGTGAGCCCTGCTCCTGATTTCAGGGCTGCGATCTGCGTTCCAACTTCCACCTTTCCGCAGCGTACAGAGAACACTGCTTCTCCCCCAAGCCATAACTCTGCCCATACCCCAACCCTGTAATCCCCACAGCCCTCTTCTGCTCCCCCTCCACCCTGGCAAATTAACTGCTGTAGATGATATCAGTGATGAAGAGGGAGTTGCATATAGACTTCACGGTGGGGCTCAATTTCTGAAGAATAAGATTAAGATACCAATTCTTTTTGTTGGCAAAATGCAGGCCATGCTGCCTCCACCTCCCTACCTTGGTTGGAGATACTGGCTCATTCGCAGGGAAGCTTTGAGGAACAGACGGTTTAACTAGAAAGAAAAAAAAGAGCAACTTTATAGCATCTCAGCAGGCAGCTCGCTGGTGACTAGCTAATCCCAGATTAGAACTGGAGCCATTCTAATTCCCTCCAACAGAGGGCAGCAGCAACATGCGCACTTCAATTAGTACAGAACGACACAGGAAACCTCTTCCACCCTCCTTCCTACTGTGCATTACTCTGCAGTCATGCCCACAACCCCTTAGCTTCATTCTCTCCCCTCAGTTTGTCGCATCCCAAATTGTAGGACAGTCTCTGCCTGCTTTGCAACACTCAGGGTGCAAACAGACGTCGTCCGATGTCTCGTTTTAGCCACAATAAATCGTTTTTGAGGATAGCACAAATTGTGAGCCAACAGATGTTGCTACCCTTTTCCCACCATATCAAACAAAAACCAGTGGCACGAAAAAAGGTAGTAATGGACTCTGTCACTTTACTGCGGCAGGAGTCTATTAGTTTTGTGGCAGGAGAGTATAAGCAGCCTGAGCTGTTCCCACTCTCCAGCCACCTTGAGGGCTCCTCAAGCCCCCAGAGCACCTGCCTGCTTTCAAAGAGGTGCCCCTGGGGAGCCTCAGGGTGCCTCTCCATAAGTGGGGAAACCTAGGTTCCCTGATCATCCAGACCTGCTTCCCCATGATTGCAGGGGACAGATCTAGTGGAACAGAGAAAGCAGGGAGATCATATCGCCTCTTGTCCCGCACCATCAAAACCAGGACATTTGGTGACAGTGACCTAAAGCAACACAGACCTGCTGGGAATTTATAGAAATGCAGCAAGGGAACACTGTGCAAGGTCTGGGTTCAAAGAAAAAAAAGTCTCATACCCACAGGCCCTCCTGCCTTTGTAACCCTCCAAAAAACAGCTACCACCAGCAGTCTGCCGAAGTCAGAAATACTGGCCTCTGCTCTCAACCTCTCACCCAAAGTATACTTTAACAATATTACTACCCTTTAAAAAAAGGCTCACAGACTAATGCTTATACAACAAATAATGAGGGAAGGCTGGTACTTCAGAGACCCAGGTTTAAGTCCCTGCTGTGCCAAATGTTTCTTATGGGGCAAAAGGTAACAAACCTAGACCCTCTGTGCCTCAGTTTCCCCATGTGTAAAACGAGGACAATTGGCATGGCTTTACTGCCCAAGGGTATTAAGGATGGACATAATATGGAAAGTGAGGCACTTGGACATTACAGAGAGTGGAACAATGTAGTTACCCCAATAAGCATCAGATGCAGTGGGCAAAATCACATTTACAAAATAGTATGGGAAAGGAATGGTCCAAGATTAGTTTGTGCATGAACATGGGAGATAAGAGGCACAGTGCATAACCCCAGGGCAGCCACCTAATACTCCTTGGCAGTCACATAGTTCATTACTGGAAGATGCAGTTCCCAGGTCATCAGGGAAGAGCTCAAGGACAGGTCTCAACACTGGGCCCAGCCCTTGAGCAATCTCTGAGTTGAGTCCCTTTAAGGTGGAACCCCATCAGAACCATCAGTGACTATGGACAGACCAAGAAGTTTGGAGGATGCAGCCAGTGCAATGCTGGGTCAGAGGCAGACAAAGCCTTCTGTGAGCTTAGACAGAGACTACTGCTGTATATGTAGAGCCCTTTCTGTCCCATGACCTCCATGCACCTTCACTCAATGCCACAATCCGATTCTTGTGAAAGGCTCTCTCTCCATACAAGAGAGAAACTCAGACTCAGGCGGAGAAACAGCAGCAAAATCACTGCCCACAGACAGTGAGAAGGACTGAAACAGAACTATGGGATCTTAACTCCTAGCTACTTGCTCAAACTTTATAGAAAACACTGAAGCAAACCAGTATACCTCAAACCCAACCACAGAATCAATATCTTTATTAATCTTTCCAGAGTGTTAGAGGAGCAATCTAGTTAACTGGCTGTTTAAAAATACCCTCTCTGTCCCAAGTTACTGGGAAACTAAAAAAAAAAAAAAAAAGCCTTTTACTTAGCCCTATAGAAGGCCCTCTGTCCCTAATCCAGTCCACAGCAATGGTAGATGAACATGGTGGGTCACAGTACTGAGAGAAAGGCCTATCAGCCTAATTTGAAAAGCCAATAAGGAAACTGGCTGCAGCACAGACATACAGACTGGTCTGTGTTATACAGTCTCTCAGACTGGTCACTCAGTTATAAATGAGAGCTTTTGTATCCACATCAGACCATCTCCTAGAAAATGAAGCAAGACAAGACCCATGTATGTGGAAGCAACTGCTGTGGGTAGTGGCTATTTCACTCGTAGAAAACAGGAGTGTTAACATGGGACTAATTAGCAGGTTAAAATCTCAGTATCCAGGGAAATAGTATATTCGTTGTTTCAGAAAATCTCAAGGGGCAGCCAGGTGTCCAGCTAACTGCTGCTGAAGGATTTTCCCATCTGCTTTTAACCATGCAACTGTAGAAGTGCCTAACAACCAGCCAGACATTGGACCCCGCTGTTCTAGGTGCTGTGAAAACACAGTAGTATGTGCTCCCAGCCCTAGTAGTTGAGACAGCCAGCCGGGGGTGGGGAAGAACACCAGAACAAAGCCAACAGTGCAACAGCAGTCACCATCGTATTAGTTCTGTGCCCTTTTTGTCTGGTTTTGGATGGGTTCGCACTTGCACTCAGCAGGGGATTGGAGGCATCATCTGGGTCACCGCCAAGCTGGGGGTCCTTCCCCTTCTCAGGTGAAGGCTAAAACCAGGTAAGCCCCATTTTATACACTTCCTCCAGGGCAGAAGCCCCTACTCCACCTGCAACAACCAGGCACAGTCTCTAGCTGGCTCTTAGTGAGACCATGTTCAGCTAGCAAGCGCTGAACACACAGCTCTTTTTCAAGACAAGGCCACAGAGGCAGGCTTGGTAACAGATCTCTGGACACTGCCAGAAACTGGTATCTTGCCAGCAAGCACTGCTGCCAGGCTGCCCAAAGAGAGAGCAGGAAACAGAGGCTTTCAGATGCTAGAGCCAGAACCTTACCTGGAGCCATGACCCTCTTGGAGTGGCCTGACTCCTCCTCCTTGGCAGGGGTGATAGGCTCTTCCCATTTTTGCTTGGGTGTTTGCCAGCTGGTAGAGAGCTCCTGGCTAGGGTACAGCTTCTTCTTCTGAGGCAGCGCAGCAGATGGAGCTAAGTTGGAAAGCATGGAAAGGGTGAGAACTGCACCCGCCTTCAACCTTTGTCCTGCAAAACAGCCCCTCTCACCCAGCACAGCCAGACACCTTCAGCTGCCACCTTTGCTACTAGTGCTACACCTGTTCTCAGACCCACAGCAACACTGGGTACACCCTACACAACAGCTAGACATACCTGGCACAAATCTCAATCTAGCTCCCATGATAGAAGGGGTTCTGTGATCAAACTTCTGTTAAATAGCTGGATTATTCCCAAGCAGTGCCATCACTGCGCCTCCACGCCCTGCACACTTAGCATCTGCTTTGTAACTATGTTCTATACATTTATGTTATCTATCCATTGGGTGCTTAAAGTGGATTGCCCTAATAACATTTTCTAGTGCCTTCCTAGAATGGAGGTAGACTACCTAGACTGTACGTTTCCCATATCCTCTTTCCTTTCCCCTCATTCCCTTTAAGGGCAGGTGCTAGGTTTGCCCTTCTCCAGTCTTCTGGGACTTCCCCCATCCTGCACGCAGGAGATAAATCACCTGTGGCTTAGCAGCTACATCAGGGATCTTCTTACAAACACCAGGGTGAATTTCATCAGGCCCTGATGACTTAAATACATCTAACTTCTCAAAATGTTCCTAACCCCTTCTCTCTCACCCTATTCTGGCCTGCAATGTTATTCCATTCTTAAAATTAATTAAGTCTTATCTGGTCATAGTTAATCCTTTTTAGTGAAGACTGAAGCAAAATAGTCACTAATAGTTTCAGTCCTCTACTAGCAACTCTTTATTTGCTCTCCCTCCCCTTTAAGTAATGGACACATACTTTCCTTAGTCTCCCTTTACTTGTAATGTATCAGGCGAACCTTTTCGTGTTGCCTTTTATGTCCCTTGCTAATTAAAACTCTTTGCACTCAGCCCCCCTATAGGGATAACCCCATCTGTCTGTGTTATTCTTCTATACTCATCCCTAGTCTGATGTCTTTGTTTGCCCTTCTTATAAGAATCTATTTTGATGTGCAGGTCCCTAAAGGGCTCCTGATGCAGCCATGTTGGCCTTTTACTTTCTTTTGTCTGCACTGGAAAAGCTTCTTTCACCATTTGCAATCCTGCATTCCTTTATTCCTTGGACTCTTTGAAAGACATCCTACCTTCCCTGAGTTTGCTGAAGTCATAGATTCATAGATGTAGGGTCAGAAGGGACCTTGTAGATCTTCTAGTCTGACCCCCTGCCATGGGCAGGAGAGAAAACTGGGCTCAGATGACCCCAGCCAGGTAAACGTCAAGCCTCCTCTTAAAGTCCATTATTTTGCTAGTCTCACCCTTTCCTGGTGATCATTTCATGATTGCTTTCACCCAGATTCTCTTCTGATTTTCAGCCTATTCCTCCCTATTAAAATGGCCACTCCTCTAATAATCACCTCAACCTTCAGAGACAGAAACCTACAGCAAAAACTGCAACCAGACCTTTCTGGAAATAGGAAACTCTTCCACTCCCTTCTGCACCCACAGAGAAACTTTGGGTAAGGTAAGACTCGAGGAAGGACATACACCTGAATTCCTCCTACTACCAAGGGGTGTTTGAACTGAACATATGCACAAGTCTCTCCCTTTTTTGCTGAAAAATTTCAAACGTTGATGGTTTTTCTTGCAACCCTATTCTCTAAGCCCCACCAATTACTTAGGGCAATTTACACTTTGAGTGCCTAGACACGTTCTACAGGAGGTTAGAGGGAGACACGTTTTAGTTAGAGCGGCTCTCGGGAGCCGCTCTAACTAAAACACCTGCAGCGTCTCGTGCATTCAGCATCACGTTTCAAAATGGCATCAAGGACACTTTAACTAAAGCTTATTCAACAATCTTTAGTTAAAGCGCTCCTACTGCCATTGTGAAATGAAGAAAACTGAATACATGAGAAGCTGCAGCATGCTGGAGCTTTCTGATTAGATGAATTGAGTCTGCTCCGATACGTTCCCATTAGAACACATCAGAGCACATCTATAGGCACTCTTCATTTGTAAACTGGTTATTCCTCAACCTTGAGGTATATATCAAACCAAATCCAATTCTACCGTGTTTAGTGCACATGACAAGACCTGCCTGCAGTTGAAAGCAGACAGACGTGTCACCACAACATGGCAAGAGCTGTAGAAAAGGATTCTGGCCTTGAAACAGACTGCCATGCCAGAGAACAAATTTTTAAATATGGAGGAAAAGAAATCATTGGAAACACAAAGAGAAGAGTATAAACGGATGGTGAAATGAACCAGAAATCAAAATTAAAAAGAAAAGAACTGAACATGCCAGGAATTTTCAGAGGCAAACCCTGAGACAGTCTTAGGTCTCAGAGTGTCAACTGGTAGCAAAGCTTCCTTCTCTTGCTCCATCCCAACTTTTCTCTGAAAAAAAAATGTGACAGACTTATCAACAGCTTCCGTTTACATGAAGAAGAAGAGTAGGTCTGTAAGCCAACCCTCATGATTGTATCGCATGAGAAAGAGGAGGAAAAAATAAATCAAAGAAGTCACACAAGAGTCAGGAACAGAAAACAGCCCGTCACGGGAAATGCAGGGGGAAAAGGTCAGTCCCATGGTGAAGGGAACAAGTTTTTGTTGGAAGGTATGAATCACAGCAGTATGCAACACTTCTCCTCTTGCCTGTTCTGCTGTCCTGTGATCAAAACTCTGGTTTCAGATATCAGCAGTAACAGAATATTTATTGCCAGTGACCCCATTCCCTGTGGATAGGAGGCTAACATTTTAGTGGCAGCCAGTCTATTTTTACCAGTACACATGCACCTAACAGTCTTAGATTGTCTTGCACATCCCATGCTCATCCATGCCATTCTCCATTTTTTTCAAGCCCAAATAGGGCAAAGGGCAGGGAAGAGAGAAAACATATGGGGAAGACCCTTGATGAATTTCCAGCTCTACCACTGCAGTTCTCCTTCAGGCCCCAGAGGACATACTGAAGAAGCTTTCACTTCCCAGCTTCATGTGCCATCTCACACTTGTAGCACTGATCATCAGGGCATTACTCTCCCCAGGTTTTAGAGACAGTGTACAAGCAGTTGCAAGTGATTCCAGGAAAAGGGGGAAAGTCCTGTGAAAATCTGGAGAGAAAACATCTCACATAACACAAATGCCACTAGACCGAAACCTAGGGAAAGCTGTGTGATGGGGATAAAGGACTAGAGACAGTTCTACAATTATGGTATTTAGAGGGTTTTTTGGCTGATACCGATGGCCACTTTTTAACGAGCCATAATCAGCCAATACCAATCCAATTGCTGATATGCAGTCGAGCAGCTTGAAGAGCAGCGTCTGGCTGGTAAGTCTGTTGTGGGGGAATGGGTGAGACGGGAGGGCCAGATCAAGGCCCCCATGGTGAGGGAGGGAGTGGGGCAGGGACAGGTGCTGCACAGCTGGAGAAGAGCACAGGATGGACCCACGAGCAGCTCATCCAGGGGATTTGGAAGGGGGGGGGTGCAGCTCCCACTGCTATATGCACCCTGGGAGGGCATAGGTGGTTATGACCCCAGATCTCCATGCAGGGCAAGGACAGGATGCTGCTGTGGGCTAGGGCAAAGCAGCACTGAGCTCTTCCCGGCAGGGGGCTGGGCCAAGCTGTGCTTGGGGCAGGTGGCAGTGGCACTAGGGGGGGAGCTATCAGATAGGGTACTGCAGCCACCCCAAAATTCACTGTAGCCCGCTTCCCAGCATTGCCACCGCCTGCCCTGAGCACAGCCCAGCCCAATGCCTCCACTAGAAAGAGCCCAGCACCACCTCTGGCCCACAGCAGCAGCCTGCCCTCATCCCACACACAGATCCAGGTGTACACGCCCCACCCTGGCCATGTCCTCCCAGGGTGCGCATAGCCATGGGAGCTACCACCCCCTCTGGGCTCCCTGGAAGAGCCCTTTGCAGCTCTGTCCTGCAGCCCCCCCCAGTTGCACAGCACCTGCCTCAGACCCACTCCCTCCTTCACCACAGGAACCTCGATCTGCACCCCCCCTTCCCTCACAACAGACTTAACAGCCAGACCCAGCTGCTTTCCATGCTGCTGTGCTGTGCTCCTGGCTGCTTGCATGCTCTGCTGTGGCTGTGTGCATGCATGGGGCATTTATCAGCAATGTCAGCCAAAAAGGCTGATTGCCAATACTGTCAATATTCTTTATATTGGCGCTGATCTGATATGGGACTGATGTATCAGTTCACCTCTAGCATTAAGCAGGTGGAATTATGCTTTTCACCCTCTCAACCCAAGAGGAGGCTAGACTACACCCCCCTCCCGCTCCACTAGTGGAAACTGGACCTTTCAAAGAACAGAGCCCATTAGACCACAGCACAGGGACAGACAGATGTCCAGGATGCTGTGAATGCAAAGAGAGAATATTCCCATCATACTTCTGGTATCCCAGATTCACACCTACAAATGGCACTACACAGGAGAAGTGATGGGTAAGGTTCCTTCCGTACTGTGTCTACACCCTTCTTACCACTGTTCTGATTTGCTGGTGAGACAATGGATGAAGCTGGCTTAGTCTCCTTCTGTGCCAGGCTTACTGCTGTGTTGAACACGTTGGAGGTATCTGTAGGCTTTTTATGGACACCCTGGTCTGAGGCCCTGCAAGGAAATACAGTAGAACTTAGAACACTGCTCCTCTGCCAGATTCTGGCCTGGACTTTACCACCTGTGATCTTCCCTCAGAAAGATTCACCTTCCCCATAGCCCTCAGAAGCAAAAGCCAAAAGCCTGGGCTTGATACAGGAACTAGTTTTTCATAGCCAAATGTCACACGGTAAGATTTGATGAAACGACCAGCTCTTCTTGTGGCTTCTCCTCATCTTTTACAGAAAGTATTTAAGAACTAAAAGCATAACTAAGAGTTCTGCTCACTCACACATGCGAACCCTGAGGCTACACAACTGGTCAAGGGTGATCAAACACAGCTGTGTACTGCTGCACACTCAGATACACCCTCACTCAACTCATCACTGAAAGCCACTGGCTCTGCTACACTCACTTGTTGGACACGGGCTTCAACCTGGTTCTCCAGTCTGCCGGACTCTCAGATTTATCTTCAGTGTTGTCCACAATTCCTGTTGGAAGAGACACAAAGTGAATAGGTCTAGGATGGACCCAAACAGCTGATCCAATACAAATCATATGTACCCCTCTGCAGATCCTGGGTAAGGCAACTCCAAGCTTCTTGTGGATGTCAAAGAGGAGATAACCCCTGAGACAGCTGCTCTGATGTTAGAGAAGTGAGGCCAGTACTACTCAAAGTAGTTTAAGATTAGCTTGGTGCTCCTTTGTTCCTACTTTGTTCAGGGCAGCTTCCCATGACCCATAGATAACAACTAGCTTGTATGGCAAAAAGGTTCTTTCATCCTAACTGATCCCCAAACACTTTTAAACCTCTCCCATCCGCTACAGGAATACATCCACATTGGAGATTATGAGGCAGCTGGTAAATAGCACACAGCAAAAGGAAAAACAGGCTGCTTAGAGCAGAATGTGGAGAACATCCCAGATGAAACTGCAGGGAAAAAACACAGGCCAGTAGCATACATTTATCAAGGACATTGGACTTAAACACTGCTCCTCTTTAAGGAGACGCATGCAATCATAAGCGGTCAGGACATCAATTTCACATCTCACCTAGAGGATGGCACCTTCAGCATCACCTTGCTTAAGGCATCGTGCTGAGTGTTAGTTCATTACTGATTTGGAGGACAGAATATACCACCTTCTGGATCCCCAAGTCGCCTCAAGATTTCCCCAAGCTGTCTCCTATCACCATATAGCTTGCTAGGTCTGCGGAGATCCCAAGACAGCATAGTATGGCAGCTACCACATTTCTGATCTCAGCTCCTGAATGAGAGTCTATTAAGGCCTGGACTGGAAGAAGTATCACATGGATACTCTTTTACAGGGACAGATGGATCCATTCTGAGCCAAAGATCCCAGAGCTCTGGAGACCGATTGTGTGGTGGCGATTGCTGCAGGGTAGAAGTGCAAGCAACACCCTTATAGTCTAGGCCAGGGCTGTCCAACTTCTCAGCAGCTGGGTGTCAAATGCTCCATGGGCTGCAATAGGGCAAGCTATGAACTCCCAGAGCTAAATGTCACGCTGTGGTACCCTGGTTGAGAATCACTTGTCTAGGCCTCAGAACAGAGCCCCAGAGCAAGTTCTCTACTGTGAAACAAGTCTCAAAGCACATGGAGCATCCTAACAGAACACCCACCTCAAACAGCAAGGGAACAAGCCACTCACCTTTGGTGCTCTTCCCGTCTGGATTACGACCGAAGTCTGCAGGTTTGCTACCCATCCAGCTTTTCCCTCCAGGCTGAGCAGCAGCCTCACCTCCTAACTTGTTGGCAGGACTCCTGGGTGCAGGCTCTGGGATTGCTGCCGGTCTCAGTCCTGCGGGACCCATTTTGTTGCCCTGCACTTTTGGATCAGGGCTCGGCCAGCGGGAGGCAGTGGAAGAATGCTTCACGCTGCAAACAGGAGTCCAATGAGCCTTTACAGAGTTAAGGTCTGTTCTACTAACCTTCACCCCAAACCCCTGAATCATCCCCTCCACAGCATGGTAATAGGAGCTTATCTTCCCATATGCCCCTCCCCTCACCACCCACAAAAGCACAGTCCAGGCTACTGGGGTTGGCAAGATATCCCTGTCCTACTAATGCCCCATTATTTCCTGGGTTGGCCTGCTATCCCAGCCAGGAGATA